CCTTTGAAGTGATCCACCCATTGTTTAATCTGTTTTTCTTCCTTGGTAATGGGCTTCCCTTGGCTGTCTTTTATAGGTTTCGCTTGTGTCGATCTCTTCCCGGATAGAGATTTGGTTATCTGATATAGTGTCCTCAGGTCCCTTTTGCCTGCTGCCTTCTCAGCTTCAGTGGCCAGATTGTCGTAGAATCTTCCTTTGTCCTTCCTAGCACTCTTCTTCACCTCTTTGTCCAGTGCTTTGTAAGTTGAGCTCATCACCTCCTTCTCCTGTCCGTCCTTGCATTGAATCATTTTATCTCCCACCATTCTCCTCTCTTCTATTAATTTCCAAGTGTCCGTTGAGAGCCATTCCTTGTCTTGTCTCTTCTTTCTTCCTAGAACAGTTGAACACGTTTCGTTGGGAATCGCCTTCAGAGACTTCCAATGTTCTTCCACGCATGATTCTTCAGTGATGTCACGTAGTGTTTCCTGCTTTGCTCTGACAGTTGCAGTGAAAGTGTCTTTTGTGGTTGTGTCCTTCAGTTTCTGAGTGTTGAACTTGCATTGTGGCCTATCCCCAGCTATCCTCGAGGCTTTTAGTTACACCTTGAAATTCCCTTCTACTGGATAGTGGTCTGAACCCACATCTGCTCCTCTCCTTGACCTTGTGTCCAGTAGGCTCCGTCTCCACTTTCTTGAAATTGAGATGAAGTCTATTTGGTTCTTGGTGTTTCCATCTGGTGAAATCCATGTCGTCTTGTATATATCCTTGTGTTTGAACACACTACCACCAATCACCAAATCATTGAAGGCGCAGACGTCTGAGAAGAGTTCACTATTGTCGTTCATTTCGCCGATGGTCTCACGACCCATGGTGAGTTCTCTTCCCGTGTTGTCTCCTCCCAGCTTCGCATTCATGTCGCCCATCAGGATTTTGATATCGCCATTCCGGACGTTGTCCATTATTGCTTGTAGTTGTCTGTAGAACGCCTCCTTCTTCTCTTCTTCTGAGACGTTTGTAGGCGCATAGCATTGAATGACTGTGACTTTCCTTCCTTCCTTTTGAGTTGAACCTGGCTGTCATTATCCTGGAGGGGATTGGTTCCCACTGCATGAGAGCTTTGGCTGCTGTTGGTGACATTATGATGGCCGCTCCCTCGGTGTGCTCGTGGTTGTCCTCTCGGTGGCCGGAAAAGATTACTGTCTCTCCAGTAGGTAGTTGGCACCTTCCAGTTCCGTTCCATCTGCCCTCGCAGATTCCCAACACTTCTATTCTGTAATTTCTCATTTCAGCGGCTATCTGGGCAGCTTTTCCAGTTTCGTACATTGTATGAACATTCCAGGTACCCATCCTTACGTTTGCTTTCGTCGAAAGAAGGCACATCGGCTGACTGGCTTCCCGAAGGCTAGCATTCACCAGCCTGCGTCATTTCTCTTCCCTGACTCCAGCGAAAAGTAAGGCTATTGCTTATGTTTTTAGAATTTTTAATATATTTATTCGTTGAAGTTTCTGTAGCGATTTGGTTGTTTTACAGGGGTGGAGTTGCTAGCACCACGCCCTAACCCTCCCTCTTTACCCGGGCTTGGGACAGGCGAGAAAACTAGCAAGCTAGTAGGCTATCAAGCTACTATCTCCTTTACAAATTGTAAAGAATCAGCCGGGTTTCCATCGAAACACCGTGGTTCAAATTTAGGGTGTTTGATGGTCCTATTATCCCTGATCGGCGAAACAGTAACATCAACCATATCATGCTTAACATCAAACACATCGTTACAAGTAACAGACAAGTCACCATGATTTACTTTCCTGTTTGCATCCAAGACGCTCTGTCCCTTCTTTGACCCAGGCATTGTTGAACTTGACCCAATTCCAAAAGGTTCCAGATATTGCTTGTTCAAAGAGGACTTGACCGGCACCAGGAAAAATGAACGGTGACTATCCAAAGTCGTGCCAACTGTCCATAAGCGTTTAAAACTGACGTTGTACCGTCAGAAACTCTCAACCACGTCTCGTAAACCGTGAATGCCCAGCTCCTGCTGCACTCGGGCTCACGCTGTTCCTTGAAGTTTCTCAGAAACGCTTAGTAATAACGGGCGAAAAAACCATAACACCAATTGTTGACTCGAGGATTCTTTATTGTAACACCAGCATATCAACACTGTTACAACTAAGGTCTGTGAATAAATATTACAATAATAAATCACAATATTACTTCTGACGGTTTTCTGCTGACCTCTTTCTGAACAGAGACCGATGAGACGATGACTGTCGTATTGATGCCTCCGCGAAAATTGGGGAAGTTGATTTTGAGCAAACAACCATGAATTGATCGTTCAATCTTCAACTTCATTGACAAACGGCTTTTTATGTAGAGCGACTTTTGTGTTTCCTGTTGAATAGCAGCATCACGGCATCTGTTTTATTTCTCGTAGAAGATGAGTAGAACTTTTGAAAGAACATCAGTGTTGAATTCCTCTCCTGATACAGAGGATCGCAGCATCGATTTTGCGACAGCCTTGTATTTTATTCGCTGTGAAGTTGAAGTATAGAGTGCATTGCTAGCTGGTGGAAGTGACAGTGCACACAGCGCCGTTTCTTAATGGCTACCTGAAAACTGAGAACCCAGTCGGATTGAGAGGGGACCTGAATTGTGGCAGAATATTAAGTATAGTGTGTTTTCACCACTTTTCCGCATAGTAACAGTTTTCCTCCCGCCAGAAGTGTTCAATGCACCCAAGAGCTTGTCATATATCGCTGGACCAGCTAAAGAGTCCCAGGTGACCTCGGGTAGGTTGAAGTCTCCACATATGATCCTATGGTCGTATAGAAGATTTGACACTGGCTCCAGTCCATTCATGAGTTGAGTCTCGTAATCACTAAAGGTGCCAGATACTCTGTAGTACATCTTATTTGTAATGTAGCACTTTTGAAGTGAACGTTGACACACAGGTTGTCGTTCATGTTGTTGAGTTCGTTTTTCTAGCTGCGAAACAGTAAGTGTGTTCAGGAGGTACATAAGGCAGCTTCCTCCTCTGCCGAAATCCCCGCCATATCGAAAGTGTGTGTATCCATAGGTGCTTATCTCTTAGTCTGGTATATTAGTAATAGTAATTATGTAGGGTTTATATACGAGTATATTTATCCTGAGCATTAGCAGTTTGATTGGGATAGATCTAGCATTATTAAGAATAAGGTAAATTTGAGAGTTGAAGTAATGTTTGAGGTATTTGAGCCGGTTAAGGGGGCTCCAGTGTGGTTTGGCGTCCAACGGATCTGCGTGGCTTGACTATCCCATATCAACCCAGTTACTATCTACTGATTTGTGTGAATGTGAGTTTAAAGTATTGAATCCACCATAGAAGAAGTTAGTTTTAGTCTTAGATTGGACAGGAAAGTGGTGCAGTTTCACTTTCACTTGGATCATCAACCTGAGAAGGAATGTAGGCGTACTGCTGTAAGTCCTACAGTTCTTCAAGGGTAGTTTGTCGTGTCAGAATCCACAACATTTGATGTGTTGATTGTACATATGTTTGTGTTAAATAGTTGTGTGAGTTCCAATTGATGTAATTGTTGGTTAATCTTGTTTGTGTCTGGACATTCCACAACTTGCAATCGTCAACCTGAGAAGAGTTGTAGGCGTACTGGTGTAAGTCCTGCGATTCTTCAAAGGAATTCCACCAAGACATGATCGGTGAGGTTGTTTGTACTATTTGTGTATACGTGTGGTGTGTCATATCAATTTGTGATTTTGGATTAATTGTGTTTACTTGTTGTTTTTGTATCTTGTTGTTATTGCAAAATTTTGTTAAAATTTTCGTCGTGATTATTTCTGAAGTTGTTTCGAGTCTTCTACATCCATGAATGAATTGATTGATGTTAAGGACAGCAGATGGGTTGTATACGCCGGGGAGGCTATCGCTGAGAATGAAATGCACACGGAGATAATTGTTAGCTGCGGTCCGACACGCCGGGGAGAAAGAGTGTAAACGACTGAGGCTCGCATGCGTCACCGCTACTAGAACTGAGGCAGAATGAGTGACAAGCGATTTCAGTGGTAATTGGTAGTGAGTGGATAAGAGGATGTGCGTGGAGTATCGTGAGGTGCTGCCATGGTCACTTTGCATTCTGCAAGAGTCATTCTAGCAAGTGGAGACTGTGTTGCAAGATGTCAAGAGGAGGTCTCTATCTGGAGGCGCAGGTCGTCATTGATGTGTAAGATTGTGCTGTGGGTATGCTTGTGGTGTGTTGGCTTTTCTGTTTGTTTTCCATTTCAGCTCTGTCCGTGTGACCCAGGTTCTCGCAATGGCATCCAAGTCAACGTGCATTGGTCGTGAAGGAAAAAAGGGATGGACCCCTTTTTTGCCGGGGAGTGTCAATGGAGTTGAAGATTGAACGATCAATTCATGGTTGTTTGCTCAAAATCAACTTCCTCGATTTTCGCGGAAGCATCAATACGACAGTCATCGTCTCATCGGTCGCTGTTCAGAAAGAAGATTGAAACATCGTCAGAATATATTTTTTTGTGACCTTAGTTGCTTAGTTCGTTTATTCCTTTTATATGTTGGTGTAACAATACAAAATATCAAACGGCAGATCGGTGTTTTGGTTTTTGCGTCCGTTATAACTAAGCGTTTCTGAGAAATCTTCTAAGAACAGCGTGGGCCCGAGCGTAGCGAGAGCTGGGCATTAACGGTTTATGAGACTTTGCTGACAGTTTCTGACGATGGAAACAGATCTGGCGGATTGAAACAGTTGGTGAAAGTTTGGATAGTCGCCGTTCATTTTTCCTGGTGCCGGTCAAGTCCTCTTTGAACAAGCAATATCTGGAACTTTTTGGAATTGGGTCAAGTTCAACAATGCCTGGGTCAAAGAAGGGACAGAGTGTCTTGGATGCAAACAGGAAAGTAAGTCATGGTGACTTGTCTGTTAATTGTAACGATGTGTCTGATGTTAAGCATGACATGGTTGATGTTACTGTTTCGCCGTTCAGGGATAATAGGAACATCAAACTCCCTAAATTTGAACCACGGTGTTTTGATGGAAACCCGGCTGATTATTTACAATTTGTAAAGGAGTTTGAGATCATGTTGAGTGGTTTTTTATTAAATGATGAATTGAAATTGATGTATTTGATGAGATATTGCACTGGAGATGCTGCAAGAGCTATACAGTGTTGTAAGTTTATGAAGCCAAAGGAGGGCTACGATGAGGCTATGAGCATATTACGCCAAAGGTTTGGAAGACCTTCGATGATTGCAGGGAAATTATTCGAGGCTGTTGAGGGTAATGGTGGTCAATTACAGGATGACTCCCAGGCACTCACTGAGTTTTTAGATAATTTGCTAATTTACAAGAATGGAATGATTTCGATGAATCGAATGAGTGACCTCAACTCGAGTTTTATACTAGAAGTAATAGCAAGACGTCTACCTACTCGACTGCAAAGGAAGTGGGTGAAGATAAGCTCCCGTATGGAGGATGAGGGTATCGAGCCAAAGTTTGATGATATCCTGAAACTGGTAAATACTAGTGTCAATCAATCTATGAGCAAGTTTTCCAGTCTGTTAGATCTCACCCCTAGAATAGAGCAGTCTGAGGGTAAAACGCAATCATTGATGACGAGTAGGCCTCAGAGAGGTGGATATCGAGAAGACTCCATGATGTCTAGTAATGCATATAGACCTAGTGAGTGTAACAGGTTTCGTAGTACATCCTCAACAGATAAGTTACAAGATGCAAGACAAACACGGCTTTGTTCTACACGTGTGCAAGAGGTGCATACAGAAGTGAACTGTGAACCAGTGAGCAAGTTCAGTGATAAGCTAAATGTAAACTCCAGGCCTTACTCCGAATTGTGTGACGATAACGTTGTTGTGAAGAAGTCTGTAGTTGCAACTGGTAAGCCGTTGCTAAATAGAGTGTCACAGAATAGAGTTACTGCTTCAGAGTGGAGTTCTGACTCCAAAAGTTTACAAAGTATAACTAGTCAGAGTGAAGATGTAAAACCTTTAATAATTTTTGAGGAGGAACCAAAATTGTCTACTTCTGTTATTAAAGAGTTTGAAAATGATGAAGTTGACGGTAAATTGGATATTTGTGATAATGATCATGATAGTGCAGATTTGTCTTTGGTTGATCATGATGAAATGGAGGGAATGCCTACTACTGCTAAGTTAAATAAAGGTTCTGTACAACTTGAACGTGAAGTAGAAATAAATGCAGATTCAGTTGCAGAAGGCATGCATACTTGTAAGACCGTCAGTGGGAGTGATCAGCATGTAGCCCACCTATCATCAGATGCTAGTGTTAAACCTGAGCTGATAGTAAAAGACAGCAGTGGTGGTGGTCTTGCAGGTAGACAAATTTCTGAAAAGCGAGCAACAACAGCTTTTGATCCACTGCTAAGTTCATCAACTGATATCAATCAGTCGTCGTTGGTGCTGTCATCCACAATGAAACAGACACCCATGAACTCAAGTATCTTGTGCAATGACTATGGTAGTATCAGTTCGTTTGAAAGGACGAATATCAATGGTCAGTTTAGTGTGGATAAGCCAAGTGTAAAGGAGAGAATTATTGTTAAATTGACTTGCACGAATAAAGGCATTTCTAGTTTCAAGTTACTATTTGAATGTTATTATCTTTGGTGTAAATTACTCTGTTTCTATACTTGGTTGATGAGATATGTCGTGTGTTTGTTGGTCATCTATATTCTACGATACAATGACATGGGCGTGTTGCCGTTCAGATTTGAGGATATAGCTGATAGAAGGAAGTTAGCAAATGAACTCTGCGACGATTTTCCAACCTAGAGCGTCAACCTGAGAAGGGTTGTAGGCGTACTGCTGTAAGTCCTACAATTCTTCAAAGGGTAGCGCATCAATGAGCAGTCCAATGTGCTTGGTGTATGATTTTGTACATATGTTCATATTGTATATACTGAATTGATATCATCTGTCATCTAGCTGTTGGTAATTCTGTTTGTGTCCGGACGACTTCCACTTGGATCATCAACCTGAGAAGGAATGTAGGCGTACTGCTGTAAGTCCTACAGTTCTTCAAGGGTAGTTTGTCGTGTCAGAATCCACAACATTTGATGTGTTGATTGTACATATGTTTGTGTTAAATAGTTGTGTGAGTTCCAATTGATGTAATTGTTGGTTAATCTTGTTTGTGTCTGGACATTCCACAACTTACAATCGTCAACCTGAGAAGGGTTGTAGGCGTACTGGTGTAAGTCCTGCAATTCTTCAAAGGAATTCCACCAAGACATGATCGGCGAGGTTGTTTGTACTATTTGTGTATACGTGTGGTGTGTCATATCAATTGGTGATTTTGGATTCATTGTGTTTACTTGTTGTTTTCGTATCTTGTTGTTATTGCAAAATTTTGTTAAAATTTTCGTCGTGATTATTTCTGAAGTTGTTTCGAGTCTTCTACATCCATGAATGAATTGATTGATGTTAAGGACAGCAGATGGGTCGTATACGCCGGGGAGGCTATTGCTGAGAATGAAATGCACACGGAGATAATTGTTAGCTGCGGTCCGACACGCCGGGGAGAAAGAGTGTAAACGACTGAGGCTCGCATGCGTCACCGCTACTAGAACTGAGGCAGAATGAGTGACAAGCGATTTCAGTGGTAATTGGTAATGAGTAGATAAGAGGATGTGCGTGGAGTATCGTGAGGTGCTGCCATGGTCACTTTGCATTCTGCAAGAGTCATTCTAGCAAGTGGAGACTGTGTTGCAAGATGTCAAGAGGAGGTCTCTATCTGGAGGCGCAGGTCGTCATTGATGTGTGAGATTGTGCTGTGGGTATGCTTGTGGTGTGTTGGCTTTTCTGTTTGTTTTCCATTTCAGCTCTGTCCGTGTGACCCAGGTTCTCGCAATGGCATCCAAGTCAACGTGCATTGGTCGTGAAGGAAAAAAGGGATGGACCCCTTTTTTGCCGGGGAGTGTCAATGGAGTTGAAGATTGAACGATCAATTCATGGTTGTTTGCTCAAAATCAACTTCCTCGATTTTCGCGGAAGCATCAATACGACAGTCATCGTCTCATCGGTCGCTGTTCAGAAAGAAGATTGAAACATCGTCAGAAACCTTAGTTGCTTAGTTCGTTTATTCCTTTTATATGTTGGTGTAACAATACAAAATATCAAACGGCAGATCGGTGTTTTGGTTTTTGCGTCCGTTATAACTAAGCGTTTCTGAGAAAACTTCTAAGAACAGCGTGGGCCCGAGCGTAGCGAGAGCTGGGCATTAACGGTTTATGAGACTTTGCTGACAACGTCTTTACTTGATCCTCATTATATCCCATTAAACCTAACATTTTACAGCTCTTTATGACTTATTATATTCCTACTCTCTGAAGGGTACGGTTGTGCACTAAATGCACAAAAAGGTATAAAACAAAAACAACTGGCACACCTGAGGATAAATGTATTAAAACCAAAAGTGGACATCATGATAGTACGAGATATACGTGTAGCATTATACATTGCAAATGAACGTTGCCAGCCTAGGGAGTTTCCTTTATTAATGCATTTATTAATGATACTTGCACTTACCTATTTCATTACAATTTAATGATTCACCTCAGCACTTTTACTTTTCTAAAACAGCTTTCAATCCCTTGTAAACGTTGTACTTACCTCAATATTGGTTGGTTATCGAATGCCGACAACCACGGGATGAAAACGAAACGAAGTCGATTTTCCCGCGAAACCTGGAGGACAATTGTACAATTCAATAACTATACAGCCTAGTTCAGACAATGAGTGTAATTATATATAAATATCAAATATTTAACTGTTGAAACATTATTAACTTGTAGACAATCTACGATTTGATATTATATCATACTTGATCGTGCCTGTGAAAATGGCATTCATTTTCATGTAAATTTATATGTTTATATGAGAATATACATAATTATTACAGCAAAGTTGCACTACTCTAGAAACTGAAGACATTCTCTACAATCTACATGGCTCAAGATACTTTTCCAAAAAGATCTAAAAGACGCCTATTTGCAAATTCCTCTTGATGAGGTGTCTAGTGCATTAACAACCATTAATACTCCATTTAGATTTTTCAAGTATAAGTTCTTGCCTTTTGGTTTAAAGGTTTCACTCGCAATATTTCGAAATGTAATAAATCAGATGATAGATGGATTAGATGGTGTTGAGTCATACCAAGACGACATTATAGTTCATGGTCCTAATATCGAATTGCATAATGAACGTCTTTTAAAACTGTTCAGGCGTTTATGTGAGAATAATGTTCTTGTTAATCCATCTAAATGTCATTTCACTTTGTCGTCTGTATCATGCTTGGGATACACAGTAGACTCCGAAAGTTTCAGACCTGATGCTAGTCGTTTGGCACCTCTAATTCAAGCACCATCACCTAATAATATACCATCGTTGAGATCATGGATAGGTACTCTTCAGTTTCACTCCAGATTCATTCCCAACTTCACTTAACGGTTATCTCCACTTTTTGAGATTGTCTCCAGTAAACAGTTTAAGTGGGAACAACAACATGAGAATATCTTGCGAAAATCTTTGGAGTTTCTTAATAAACAAGCTTTCCTAAGACCTTTTCTTGTCGAGAGATAAGTCTGTTCTCACTACAGATGCTTCTCCTATGGGTATAACTGCAGTACTTGAGCAAAATGGACAACCTGTTATTTGTATTTCAAGACGTCTAAGTAAGAGTGAACAAGGGTACTCACAAACCCAGAAAGAAGCTCTAGCAGTTGTATGGCCAATAAGACGCTTGTGCAAGTATCTCTTTGGTTCTAAGTTTCACATAGTTACTGATCATCAAGCTTTGAAATTCATTTACAATCCAGAAAAATCTTTGAATAAATCATCTGCTGCTATGGTTCAAAGATGGAGTTTAGAACTAAGTGCATATGATTACACCATTGAACATAGATCGGCAAAGGATATACCTCATGCAGACTTCTTATCTCGTTATTCATTATTTGAAAATGCTGCTAATGATACTGATTGCTTATTAGTCCAGCCGTTACCTGTGGATCGAGTTCGACTTATAAATGATACTCGGAAATATTACGGATGCGTTATAAATGCAACAAAAAGAGGTTGGAATGTTCAGTGTAAGCGAAGATTTCCAGACTTTTATAAGCGAAGAGATGAGATTTCAGTCCATCCTGAAGGATTTCTATATCTGAATGACAGAATTGTTATTCCTCCAACATTAAGATCTGCGATTTTGGATGATCTACATTCTGCTCATCTAGGAGCTGATAAGATGAAATCATTAGCACGCCTAACATGCTGGTGGCCGGAAATTGGTGCTAACATTAACAGAAGATCAAAGAGCTGTACTAGCTGTTTACATAAAATGTCCTATGGGAAGTCATCGTGGACACCGTGGCCTGCATCTTGTTAGGTTTGGCAGCGTATTCATGCAGATTACTGTGGTCCATTATTAAATTCATATTATGCTTTAGTTATTGTGGATTCTTATTCTAGATGACCAGAAGTCATCATTACAGATAGTCCTAATGCCAAATTCACTCACAGAGCGTTGAGAAAGATTTTTAGTCGAGAAGCAATTCCAGATATCGTAGTTACTGACAATGGTACACATTTTACGGAGAAGAACTTCAATGATTGCCTCAAACATATAGGTTGTCGTCATTTGTACACAGCACCAAGTCATCCTCAGTCAAACGGGTTGACGGAAAATATTGTACGAACATTAAAGAATGCTATAGCATCAATGAACCGCGCAAGATACTAGCTTGCTAGGCTACAAGCCTACTAGTTTTCTCGCCTGTCCCAAGCCCGCGTAAAGAGGGAGGGTTAGGGCGTGGTGCTAGCAACTCCCCTCCTGTAAAACTGCTACGTGCTTTATAAAGTGTCAGCTTTATCTTTTAACTCTGTCATAATACATGGATTATATGATACATATGGTTTAGAAAGAAACCCCTGGTTATAGATTTTCACTACACAAATCAAACGATATGGAACTGGATGCGTGAACACTCTGGTATTTTTGAAATAAATGTTGATTTAGTTATCATGAGAATCAGGTCATTTCGATTTTAAAAGTTGCCGAATGCTTGTATGTAGACAAATCGAGTCAGCATACTTGC